ACCAGAGTTTCCACAGGCCGTCGGAGGCTTTGGGGCTCTGGAGACAGCCACACCAGCATCCGCAGCACACCTGGGAATTGCAAAGACAAAGGTGAAATCCCTCCCAGTTAACATGCTATGCTCAACAACTGGCTACACAATAGAAACTGCTCATCACAGGTGTTCAACAATACACCCTCCGATGTCCTCACAGGCTAATTTTCGTCCAGTAATACATATTTATATACTGATGAAAGAGCACATTACAATTTAGTGACCTAAGAGTATCATCATCTTAATAAAATTTTTAAATTCCACCATCTAAGTATCTTCTAACCTAAATCTCTTAAAAAACATTTTCTGCACCACTTTTATAATCATGTTTACTCCAATCCTGACTATGGAGAGTTATGCATGTTCCTGAGCTGGAGTTAAAATACTATTTCCGGGGTCCCACAATGTCATAATATGAGAGCTATAGCTTCTCACCCTAGCACTGAGCGTGGACTGAGCTCCTGCTCTCTTTAAAAAATCAGGGCAAGATCTGTATCTGCTCCGATGAGACAAGAGCAATCTCGCTGTTCCATTTACTGTTGTGTAAACAGCTTTCTAATGGTATTTCTTATTAACAAATTAATAAACAAGCAGCATCAGTAATCAGAAGATGACTAAACATATTTCACTAATTAATGTAAGAATTTGGTAGGAATAAGCATTAGCATTCCATGATCTCTCCCACGCTATTTTCTAATTTATTGAATTCCAAGGTACTTAAGCACTACAACATGAAACAATGCATATCTAAAACTAATTACATTTTAACTTGAACTGCAAATTATTGTTTAGCTCACACTGAGTACGTCAAACTGCAAAGCAAAGAAACAGGCTTAAGGCATTTACAGAATAAGCCCTTTACCTTGATTTCTTTAGCACTGCTAGAACCCTTCCCCTCTGTCTTCTTTTGTTTAGAAGATGAGCCGCTTTTACTGCCACTGCCACTCTCCTTGCTAAGGTTGCTGCTGGACTTCAAGGATGACGACTGACTGACTGTCCTCTTCCGGGACCCATGTTCTTGCTTGGAATCTTTCTGCAGGACTGGGGCAGCAGGAGACGGCAGTAAATCCTTCTCTTTAACAGCACTTGGTTTTGAAGACCTGGACAAAATGAATGAATTCAGGTTTGTTTGGATTTGTTGGTTTTTTGGTTTTTTTTTCCCCTCAAAAAACAAACAAACAAAAAACCCAACCAACATCACAAAACTTTTTTTAAAAAAACAGATATGGAGGAAAAGAAAGAGAACAATCATCTCGGTGTCTTGGTGACTAGGTTTCTACGAAGCCAGATTGAACTCGTTTTTACCATTTTTGTTCTGACCTGAAAACACAGCAGACAAGTTCTAACCATAAAACCACATCCCTACAACTGTTCTTAAAAAAACACCCCCAACACTTACAAGGTAAGAAATTAATGCCAATGTTAGCGCCAGCCTGTCTGTTGCAGACTAGTCAGCCTAACAGCTCAGAAGAAAGATGTCCCAGATAAATGTTCTCCGGAACCCAGGAAACTGGAAAGACTTCTCAGCATAGCCTTTCAGTACACTCTTACCTTGGCTGCTGAGAGCTACTGTTGACTATTCCTGGCTTCCCATAATAATATTTTCTACCCATTATTTTTATAAAATCATGTAGTTTCATTTTAATTAAATGTCCTACGGATAACTGCACTGGCAATCAAGCAAATATCAGAAATAACAGGTAAAAGAAGGATAATCACAGAAATGCATCCATTCATTCTACATCTGTTTCCTAACAAATAGTAAGACACTGTTTTATTTCAGAATGGGCAAACCAGATTTCTAGCATCTGATGTGCTGCAGCTTCTCACATATCTGTAAATTTGGCAATTACTCACTATACAGAAGAATTTTCCATGACACAATTATACCAGTTTTCAGTTGCTTGATCTGAAATAGCAGAGTTGTAAAAAGCAATGGAAAAAACTTACTCTTTCCTGTGGATTAACACTGACCAAGAAATAAACCAAATAAAAGAATAACAGCTATTACAAAAAGCATGGGAAATTACAGAAATAACATACAAGAGTATTAAACAATGTTCTTGATTCGCTAATTCTGTATTACTTTGCTTTTGTGTCACTTGCACTTTTCTTTACCTAATCTATCATGCAAATGTGAGGCTAAATCCACAGATCCAAGTCTCAGTGCCATCAGCTTCCCAGACAATGCCAGTTAAGCAATTTATTCTCAGTTTACAAACTTACTAAATGGAGAATTGCCAGACTGGGTCAATTTAAAAGCACAGCTTTTGCAAGATCAAAAAGCTCGATGCAGAGCTGACTTCTAAAACAAAACCAAACCCTACTGTATATTAGAGAAAAACCAGGAAGCATATATTCCATAATACACCAGTCCTCCACATGAGGGGTTACCTTACTTCTGTTATGTAAAACAATTATCTTTAGCCAGTGTTTTTGGTTATGGAAATTAATTTCCTCCAACTACTAGCAGAAACTCTGAAATTAATCTGTCCGAAGGGTAAGAAGCAATGAAATTTTACTCACTGATTAATAATGAGGAGACACTTTGGGGGAGAGAAGGAGGAGGAAAAGACAGGGGAAGATGAGCACCCATCTTCTCCTTGATCACCCTGAGCCTTTAATGTTGAGAACACAGCCAAGATACTCACTCCCTACTGCTAGAAGTCTTGTGTCCTGATGGAGCTTTTTCTTCCAGTTTCGTTTTCTTGCTTTCACTGGCTCTGTTTTCATCCTCATTCTGAATAAAGCAAAGAAGAAATACATCCAGGCAAACGTCCACATTTACAGCTTCACTAAGAGTGGCAGCGTACAGAGCAAGATACGTACAGATCACAAAAACATGTCTGACAGCATCTAGCCTGTATCAAATTTTTACCAGACCCTGATATCAGAACATAATGAAAAACAAAGTTTGGCTTCTAAATTACCAACCTGCATAAAAGAAGTAGCAGCTAAGTTGTTCATTTTAGCACAAATATATTATCACCATGAAATACCAGAAAAATCTGCCAAAGACTTCAGTAAGAGATCAGGAGACAGATTTTACACTGTGGAGCCTAATGGAGATGTCTTACAAATGCCAGAAAAAGGTAAAAGTCTTGCAGGCTATTCAAGTAAGCTCAGAAATGTTGAAGAGTAGATTTTTATATACATTTAATCCTAGAGTCAAAGGGTCTTGAAGGTAAATTTCTAAGGTGTCTTCAGCAAGCACTGGAACTATCAATACAGTGAATAAAATGGAAAATAGGTCCTCACAGAAGAAGTCATCTGGTAACATAACCCAGAATAAAACCCTAAAGGTTTCATTTTTATTTACACCAATGCTGCAATCCTGAGCCTTACGATCAAGGAAACCTGAGCAAATGACATGCAGAAGTGAAGCAGTGACAGTTGCGTACAGAGCACCCACAAACCTAAAAACTGGAGGGATATGGGGGAAGGGTGGGTTTTGTTTTAGTTGCCTCAAACAGGGTTGCAACTTCTCCGGTACGCAGCAGAGTAATCTGAGGATTCAAATCAATTAACGGCAATTAACCCAGACTATTTGCTGGGATAAAGCCTAAGTTTAATTGGTCTTACAAAATCTTTCTGGTTTAGATGTAAGAGCACAGATCTTTAATGCTGTAACTCCGAATGTGTACTGAAAGGCATAACTGGTCAAAGGAATAGAAATCAGTGTATTCAGAGCCACTGGAGCATGCAAGTGCATTCCCATACATTAGGAATTATACAGTAACACTTGCAAAAAATAATTAAATCACTGTACTGGTCAGAGTTATTCCCATTTTACAAAAACTCATACTTTCTGCCTTCATTTCCTTATCCAGACAAAACAGGAATCTTAGGAACAGTATAGGAGAAACCTCTGTTTGCAGTTACATGTCAAGTCTCCCAGGCAACACTAATTCAGTAAGTGACCAAGTTTACTTAGGTTGCTCAGTAGGAAAACTGGTTTAATTGAAATTATCTATCTCGTCTGGAGAGACAAATGACTCTCTGAATGATACCATATAATCCTTTGATTCCACATGTCAACAAAGTCTTACAACCACTGCCAAATCCCTGTCAAAATTAAATTTTCAGAATGAAATCCAGAGTAGCACGGCAATTTTTGAATGCCTGAACCAGGGCTTCGCAGTCCTAACTTCATGCAAACCAGAAATTTAGAAAAACTTGTTGGATCACTGAGTCCTTCTGACAGTCACAGGTTTGCTCTTTATACAGACTGTCTATGTTCTGAGGTTTCTCAAAGCAGTTTAAATTTACATCATCAACTACTTCTTACCATTCCCCCCCCCCCCCAGTAAATTTTTTCATTTAGTGC